AAACCACATCTCTACTGACCACCATTTTGTTTGCCTTCGGATCCCAGAGCTTGAAGCCTTTCACCCCTTTCTGATATCCTAGAAAGATACATTATCTAGACTTCACATCAAGTTTCGATCTCTCCTCACTAGAAACATGTACATAGGTTGGACATCCAAACACTCTCAAACCAGAGTAGTCTACCTCACTGCCTGTCCATACCTCCTCTGATACTTTCCCATCTAGTGCTGCCCTTGGTGATCTATTAATCAAGAAACATGTCTCCTGCATTCAACCTAAGACACCCAGCTTTTTCAGCTATCGTTCTGTTCATCCTTTCCGCTACACCATTTTGTTGTGGTGTCTTGAAGACTGTAAAGTGTCCCTTGATCTCATGCTGCTCACACAACTTCTGGAACTTTGAATCTGTGTATTCAGTACCATTATCTGACTTGAGGTATTCAATCTTCCTCCCTGTCAGGTTCTCTACTTCAGCTTTCCACAGCTTGAACTTGGCAAACGCTTCGGACTTGTGCCACATGAAGTACACTCAAACCTTTTGCAAGTAGTCATCAATGAAACTCACGAAATACATGTATCCTCCCCGTGATACTACGCTAACTGGTCCCCAAACATCTGTACGGACATAGTCGAGAATCCCCTCTGTCTTGTGTGTGGTTGTCTTGAACTGCACCCTGTTCTGTTTTTCAAGAACATAATATTTGCTAAAATTGAGCTTGCATGTCTTGACACCCTTCAATAGATTTTTCTTATAAAGCTCTATCATCCCACGCTCACTCATATGGCCCAGCCGCATATGCCACAAGACTGTACTATCTGATTCAGACTCTACAGCAGTAACTTCACCTACAATCGTGGTACCCGGTAGTCTGTAAATGTTTTCTGCTACTTTTTGTCCCTTCATCATTGTCAGCATGCCTTTACTCACTTTCATTACTCCACTTATAGATTTGTAACTATAACCATTACAATCTAAAGTGCCCAATAAAATCAGATTCTTCCTTAGATCCGGTACATGTCTAACATCACACAACGTTCTAACCACACCATCAAACATCTTAATTATAATATTCTCTATTCTAATATCTTTGCAGGATGCATCGTTACCCATCAAAACAGAACTAGAATTTACTGACCTGTAGGTGTCAAACCAATCTTTGTTGGGAGTCATGTGATAGGAACATGTTGAATCCATAATCTAGGAATCTATTAGACAATCTGAACCAGATGAAACAGAAAGCATATCACCGTCAACACTCTCTGAATCTTCTTTTTTCACTACGTTTATAGAATTTGATAGACCCTCTTTGTCCTCTGAATCCCCTTTCTTTTTCTCTGGACAGTCCTTTTTAAAGTGCCCCTTTTTCCCGCACTTGTAACACGAGATGGAGACGTACTTCTTCTTCCTCGACTTGGACTAGGCTTTATTGTTACCCGATCCATTCTGAGATTTGCTTCTTCCACGTTCCTGGTTACCTTTCACCACAAGTCCTTCACCTTGTGAAGCCTCATTACTAGTTTTCTTCCGCTGATGAAAACCTAACAGAGCACCTGTGACATCCTCCAACTCGAGGGTTTTTTTCCCCCACATCAGAGTCGTAACCAAATTCTCGTACGTAAGAGACGCCGGTAGGGAATTCAGCAACATCAACGCCTTGCCTTCGTCTTCGAACTTCACATCAACTCGTTTCAGATCGCTGATGATCTGATTAAACACATTGATGTATTGGGTCAGATCTGAGCCCTCTGACATCTTAAGACCATATAATTTCTGCTTAAGATAGAGCTTGTTAGTCAACGACTTTGACATATACCGACTTTTCAGTTTCAACCAAACTTCCGCCGGTGATTCCCCATCCATGACGTGATACATCACGTCATCAGCCAGACAAAGCCTAATAGTCGCCACATTCTTCGCCTCAATTCTTTCCAATGCATGTCATCCATTCCTGCCGGTTGTTTTTCGTATAACGCCTTCACCATGCCCTGCTTCACTAACAGGTCTTTCACCCTCCTCTACCATAATCCAAAATTATCAGTGCCGACATCTGCCTCCTTGTCATTGTGCACACAGCAAATATGAGCCACACATAATCTAAAACATACTGATGATGGTTGATTTTTCCGACCCACTTTTGCCAACCAATGCAACAGTTGTTCCAGATTTAATTTCAAGGCTTAATCCGCGTAGTATAATTTCCTTGGGCCTTGCTGGATATGCAAAATAATGTTGTTGAGTTTTATGTCTCCCTTTATCTTTTCTAGCTTAATCCCATCAGAATCATCTAGCTCCATCTTATTTTTTCTTTTCAAGATCATGAAAACTGATTTCACTACATTAGTGCCCTTTGATAGATCTGACGTCATACTTCCAGCTTTTGATATTACTCTCCCACAAGTCACCAATATGAAAAACGTCTGAAACAGGTGCATGTATGTGATCTCATCATGGTACAACAATTTTTCTCCATACCATAAAATTAACCCAGCGTTAGCAACAGTTAGAAATTGTGACAAAAATAAACTCAACCCTGTATACCAAGATTGGTTTTTGCTCTCTCTTTTAGGATCTTTCAGTGTAGCCTCGAAAAGCGTCATGATTTTTTCCTCAGCAGAAAAAGCTGCAATTGTCCTATGATTCCTAACAGCCTCACTTGCTAAGCCACTGCTCCTATTTTGGGATTTTAAGACTTCCTTTGACATTCTCTTCACGAGGACCACTCTAGCATAAAAGGAGCCAATGATGAGTGGTTGCAAAGCGACAACTAGAATTGCAAGTCTCCAGGCCAGTGATACACCCAGTATAACTGCTAAAATGGTTGTAAAGAGGACATGGGTCAATAATGAGAACCTATCACAAACAAGAGATCGGACCATACGTGCTTCTGTAGCTAGTCTTGAGCAAAAAGCCCCACTTGTGTTGCTTTTATGCTCAAACTATTGTATCTCAAATGTCATGATCTTTGCCAGCATTTTCTCCTGAACTCTTTTCGTTAGGTGCTCTCCTATAAACCCAATGTTGTAATGGTGAACCACGTTAGTGAATAAAGCAAAGAAAGCATTGAATAAGAAGGCAAAGCTGTATATTTTGGTTTACTTCTTGATCTTGTCATGATTATTGATAAAGTAGGTTGAAAGAAGTGCACCCATATAGAAAGAGTGAATGGACTGAATCACCCCAAAGCAAAGAGCAGCAACGCCACCTAGAATGGCCCTGTTCCCTTCAGGGGCTGCCAATTGCAAAAGATGCCATAAAGATGGAGTGTTGATATCATCTTCTTGATGTTTGTTAGTGTCTTGATGAACTAATTGAAGTTCATTTTCTGATTCCTCAGATTTGACTTCTCGAGCGTCTGTTGGGATATCACAAACATCATTACAGTCTGTTCTCACAGGAGGTTCACTATCTTCTACAGATGTTTGTTGGAGCTGCACCATACTGAAGTATTGACCATGTTCATTTTGAAGGAGGTTGATATGAGAACCACTTTCTACTATCTTTCCCGATTGTATAACAGCTATTATGTCAGCATTATGAAGTGTAGTGAGGCAGTGTGCAACTATAATTGTTGTCTTTCCTATGGATGCCTGATCTAGAGCATCCTGCACGGATTTCTTAGACTGAGAATCTAATGCACTGGTTGCTTCATCAAACAGTAGGATTATTGGCTTCTTCAGTAAAGCCCTTGTAATTGCAATCTGTTGTTTCTGACCTCCAAACATTTGCATTCCAAATTGTCTAACCTGTTGTCAATGAAAACATTAGGCATCTCCCTATTCATGGCTTGTTCTTTTCTTGATATATTGATGCTAATGTAGGAACAACCAAAGTTCTTGTAACTTACTTGTGTATTGTAGCCATCGGGTAGTTGACAAATGAAATTGTGTGCATTAGCTGCTTTAGCTGCATCAATGACCTCAGTCATTGAAGCACCTTTTTTCCCAAAAAAGATATTTTCTTTGATGGAGGTTGCAAATAGTACTGGCTCTTGGCTAACAAGACCTGTTTGAGATCGTAACCATTTTAGCTGAAGAGTCTTTGTGTCAATCCCATCCAGAAAAATTTCTCCTTTGATGGGATCATAAAATCTTTCAATCAATGAGATTATTGTTGATTTGCCTGAACCACTGCCACCTACTAACCCCACAGTTTGACTGCCCTTCACCATTAGGTTGAAATTTTGGAGTACCAAATTCCTAGGTCTTGTGGGATAAGTAAAATCCACATCCTTGAACTCCAGTTCACCTCTAGCATCTTCAAAGATTTTGCCTCGCTGGTCCTCGGAGTCTATGATTGGCACTCGCTCGATTATGTCAACTATCAAATATGCAGAGGCTGCTGCCTCCATGAAGAACTTTACATTGGCCAGAGAACCCCCGAGTGCACTGCAAAAAAACAAGTCAGAATTTTAGCTCCTAATCTCAATTATTGTTAGACCAAGGATTCCTATTTTATATTTTAGATATTTTTGCTTTCCAGTTCGATAGGAGCTTGTTGTGTAGCAACTGATATTAACCTTTGTCTCATAGTCAAATTTGTAGAAGATTCAGTAATAAAAGGTGAATAGGATCCGTGACAAAAACCTTGCTTGAGAGTCCCAGGTGATCCAAAGGGTAATTGAAGAGATGGGAAAATTTGCCATGCGACAGCCCTCTGTGTTTGGAACAGAATCCACTACATGTGATGACGGGTATCATGCTGCTTCTCATGTTAGAATAGAGGTGGGACTGCATATGTACTAGCTTACGAGTCACTGATGATTTCAATGGATTTTCCATGAGTCTGAGGCTAAGTGAATACAGAGGTGTTGATAGTGATGAGCAATAAAACCAGGCAGCACTTTCATTCAGGTTTCCTGGCTTCCCTATTGTTGATTTTGTAACATGACCATCATGATATTATGAAATTTTTGTGTTTTATTGATTATCAGAGCAGTTTTGTTTTTTTTTTGGCATCTTATTGTTAATTTACTACATCGATGATTTTTAGTATCGAGACTTACAGTCCTCCAACGATGATGCAAACTCCTGTTGTAAAAACATCCCCATCAATTGCTCCCTTCTCAATGACTAAAATGCTGACGTACCAGGCTGGGAAAGACCAGACAGCAAAAGCTATGTCAATGCTCCCAATAGCATAGCCCTTTATGTGCCCTTGTTTAATCCTAAGATCCAAACTTTTTTCTAATGTTTCCGAATAGCTTCTTTTCGTTTCGTTCTCACCACCACAAGAGTATACAGTCCTGATTGGTGAAAATGCTTGCTTTTCTATCGAGCCAGCACCTCCGTAAGATACTATAATTTTTTTCCCTATCTCAGCTAGCATCTTCCCATAAATGATTCTTGGGATGATCAATAGAGATAGTGCTGGAATGGCAACAACAGCAAGTTTCCAACAGAGGTACAAAGCTACCACCTCAGAAGAAATGAAAGTTGATACATTCATAAGGAAGTTTGGAATCTGTAATAATGAAATTATCCCTTAAAATCATGAACAAAAACATAGGAGATCCATAAGTAATAATTTGAGTGGAAGAGGTAGTAGAGATGGACCTTCTCACTGAGAACACCTTGAATAGTAAGAGAATCAGCTGAAAAACTTGCTATGATTTGATATGTGGTTGAAGTGCCATCTATCTTATCAAGGAAGCTAGCATCTTGCCTTAACACCGCCCTTAGATATTTTTTGTGCAGTCGAGAAGTTTGCCTCTCAGCAGTGCGAGCCCAACATAGTCCTTATGTTTACAAGAAAAAACACTAAAGGATGAGAGAAAACTGTTCTTTATACCATGTGAATATGTAATGGCAATCGGATTTAAATCGACAAGACTGAGTGTGAACAACTCACCTAGTAAGGCACCAAGTCCCATTGCAATGGCTACATAGATTAATTTCAAAGCATCCTGTCATCACAAACATATGAAAAGAGAATAAGCAAGTGAGCAAAACAAAAACCAACTTGTAATCTTGAAAAACATGTGAGAAAATCTGCAAACATTCATCTTTAAGAAGCCATGACCAACTTGATTGATATCATGCAGGGTATAAGAAGAGTGAACAACATACTTATTCATCATCTTATTGAGGACCAACATGATCAGAGGCGTGGACGATCCATCAGCAAAGCAACCAAATGATCCCAGTGCCATCAAAAACATATCCTTAGAGTCAGAATACTTGAAAACTGTCTCTGAGAGCCGCCTCGGTTTCTTTATTGGTTCTCCTTTCTCTTCATTTTTCTCTTGCTCTTGGTTAGAATTTGGCTCTCCCATTTTCAAACTCCTTTGTTTAGCCTGTTGAATCACAGATGCAAGTATTTAAAGGAACAAAATATACAGTCCAGATGTTTTTGTATCTTATTTAGGTTCTTTTAACTGTGATTCCTATGCATCTATATGAATGTTCTGCTTTGTTTTACTTCAGCAGTGGCTGGCCAATTTTTTTTTTTTATGATTAAAATGTTTTTTTCTAAATTTTTGAAGGGTAAATTAGAGATTACCTCCTATGTTATTTGACCTAGTAACACTTTATCTCCTTTATATTTTCAAAATCTATGCATAACTCCCGTTATTACCCCCTATGTTACTATCATATGGTGACATATGAAGCATGGATACTTCGCCTAAGTCGGCGTACATGTATCGGGTATCATATCAGATACAATATTTATTAGATACGCATCATACGTATTTGATAATTAATAAAATATATGGATATTTCGCAGATACTTCTACACATAGAGTAAGATGCACAATTTTTAATTTTGGTCTATACCCTCTCCTTTCGAGTTCAAAAACAATGTAATACATTAAAAAAATTCTATTTAATTTTGAAGACATAAGTGTTTTTTAAGTATTATCTACTATTATATGTCAAAAGACTATACAAAGTTGAGTTAGTTACACTATAATCTTATAAACAAAATACTTGTAAACAAACCAACTAGTTAAATATTAGTTCTAATTCCTTTAATTGGTCACGTTTATGGATATAATATAATGAGATGATATTATACGTTTAATGTAAAAATTGCTAATTGTGCTTACTATTGTTATACAATTAGTATAAATTATAATTTTTAAGTCATTAAATAATAGTAAAATATAAAATTTATTTTATTATAGATGTATCATACTCTTATCCTATTTTTTAGGTTTTGTTGTATCGTCGTATTCGTATCGTACACGTATCTCATATCCATGCTTCTTAGATGGTAACATGGTCTTTACTTTTCACTTTCTTTCCTTCTTTTTTTTTCAGCAAGGTATATAAAAAATAATTGTATTAAGTAATACAGACTAATCTCATATAAGCAGAAAAAATACAAGATTAAACACAGAACAAAAATATTATCTGCTGTAATTACAGACTAATCTTATATTAACGGATAAAATACAACATTAAACATAGGACAAAAATATTATCTATTGTAATCCAGTGTTTAATAAGACACTGGATTAAGAGTGGGATAATAGAGTACTAAGAGCATCTTTAGCAAAAAGTTATAATAGAGAGCATCTCCAACTATACTCTCTATTCTTATCATTTTATCATTTTATGTTTTGTAATTTTTTGGCAATAAATTTGGCTTCCCTCTTTTCCTCAATTATTTTAAATGACATACATTTATCCTAAATGTCTTGGATGAAATATCCTTTTTTAAAAGATATCAATCAAGCCTAATTCTTCTTATTTTGTTTATTTTGATAGGCAAAATAGTAAATTTATAGCTTAATATGGTTCAAATGGATTATAATACCATATCTTCAGGTGGTATTATAATCTTGTACCCAAAAAAAGGTGATATTATAATCAGCTCGATAGTACGTATAAGACATATTATTCATATACGTATTTGAAATAAGTTTATATATAATATGATGCATTTTTGGCAACTAAATATAATATATGGTTGGATTAGAGAGTTTTAATTTACTATCATTTTGTAATCACCCTTTAATACTGCAACTAAACGACATTCTTTCTTTTGTTATATTATGCATTTTATCGTGGTCAAAGTCATGATATTGGTCATCGACTCGAAAAACTCCGAAACACATCGGTTGGGGCATTGCAATATCAAGCGATACGACCTAATAGAAAATGTTGAATAAGACGAGAGATTCAGGTCATACCGCGACGTTGTTGAATTGTACTGGTCGATTCGATAACGATAATTTGACGACTCAGGATTGACTCAGTTGACTCGGCCGAGTCGTGCAAGATTTGAGCGAGTCGTGCAATACTCGAACTTTATACGTATCATGTAATAATATCATTACGGAAGGTATCGAGTCAAATACGATTGACTCGGTCAATACTTTAAACCATGCATTCTATTGCTCATAAAGGGAATCATTGAAAATCGGCTGCCTTATTAGATTAATCCTTTTAAGTTACATAATCAGAAAAATGAGGATTTGTATTATTCAGGACGCAAGGCCGGTTGGCTGGGAGCCTGGGATCATTGGAATCATCCAAGGTCCGTTTGATTAATAAGAAAAAGACGATGGAAAGTGAAAGAAGTAGAAAGTAAAGTGAAAGAAAATATATTTTCATGCATGTATTTGGTTAGCTTGAAAAGCTTCTAAGAAAATTTTAAAACAATCTCATTTTATTTTTTGAAAAAAAGAAAGTTATAAGAACATTTTTCTAATTGTCTAAATTATCCTTAAGTATTTTAACTCGGTCTGAAAAAGAAAAACATATTTTTTATTATTCAAATTTTAAAAAAATTGGCTCCTAACTTAATTCAAGAACAAAGATCGACTTGAACCTTAATCTTTAGATCAAATTACATGATTAGCCTACTTTGTACACAATTTTTTAAAATTAATAACTAATTGAATATTTTAAGAAAAATAAGGGTAAAATGGGAAGTTAACTTATTGAATGCAACTTTTTTGTTTTTTCTTGTATTTTTTGCAAAAAAAAAAAAAGTTAGTTAGATGTAAGAAAATCTAAACATGAGAGAAAATTATTTTTTCTATCAATTTTTATTTCATGCTAAACAAACGCATGAAAAATTATAAAATTTTTCCTTTCTTGTATTTTTTTGCTAAACAAACGGACCCAAGGAAATTCAACTTGGCAAAACTTGAGAGAGAGAGAGAGTTTTTGTAGGCAGCTTCCTTGTTGAGGAATTCACTAATTTGCTGTCTTTATCTATGAAAGCTGATTCTTTTTTTTTTTTTTGTTTCTTTTGAATGTGACTCTACTCTATTTTCAATGTATTGTGCCAGTTTATTAACGATGCTGAATTTTGGAATTATTTGGACAAAAAAGCAGCTCATTTGATTTCAATGGCGGAGCCAATAGTGGACCAGGGCCAAGCGCCTACCCTGAATTTTTTTTTAAAATTATTACCGGTATATTTCTATTTTTTATATATATTTCATGGTGCTTGGCCACTATATATATTTTGTATTCAATCTATCAATTTCTTGTTCTATTAAGTAGTATAGATAAATATTAATTAACTATAAATTTTCGGACACACTTTACACTTTACAGACACATCTAAACAAGTTTTTGATATGTCAAATTTATTTTTTAAGTTATGAAAATTGTGAGGATTAAATTATATAATCAAAAAAAATGAGTTAATTATTTATATAGAGAAAGATATTCTCCATAGTATAGATATTGAATTTATCATACAAAGTTTTTAAAGTATGAAAACTTATCAAAATTAATTGTAAATAATTATAATTAGCCTCTTTTCATTAGTTTTTTTTTGTATATATTATGCATATCGATGTTGAATCATTTTATATCTAATAAATGTTTGATTTTCAAGCAGTAAAAAAAAATGTTTTAGTATTAAATATAATATAATAAATTTTAATGTGCTATGTTATTTTTATCAAGGAAAAAAAATTAAGTATATAGTTACGGTGCTCACTCTGAATAAAATTTTTGACTCTATCATTATTTGATTTGATATATTGAAGTTGCCACAATCTTTCACATTTAAGGCTTTATATGATATAATGAATAAGATCACTACATGATTCATTTGCTAACAGCTCACCACCCTAGATGAGATCCCGGGTGTAACCTTTGTTTGCATTAGGTATGTGCATCACCAAGTACATAGGAAAGTCCCAAGACTTGAGATATTATTTTTGGTTGCTGGCTATCCTCATATCATAACAGAAAAGGATTTCATCTACCCAGAGATTGATTCCCAATCGGGCGTTGACGGCGACTACGCCCATCCCTATGCTAAATAGGTTCACACAGCACTAGCAAGGAAAAAGCTTAAATTGCATCAAAAACCTCAAAAGAAAAGCGGCAAGGGGAAATCTAACCCCTCCCTCCATGATTATCTTAGTATGGAACGATATGAGGTCGTCATTCCCTACATCTGCCCTATGGAACAAGGGGGGTCGAAGATAAGGATAACCACATTATCAAGGAAGTTTTAAGTGGACCTAAAGTCGTTTAGAATGAACTCGGTCACTTGAGTTTTCCTAACCTTCCCCTCGTTTCTGGGTCTATCGACCCTTGAGGCTCTGTTTCTATGCTCCCTATACATTGGGTGTTGCAGAATGGATAAAAAGGAGGGAAGAGTATGAAGATCTTTGAACGAAGGGTACTTACAAGTTTTACAATTTGCCTAGTCTTGCTGAAGAACCACTCTAGAAATCAAACAACGCAAGGAAAGCAATCACCAGAAGTGTCTTTCACCTTCTGATCCCTCTTCTATTTATATTATCAGAAGTGGGAGCGATTGTCTAAAAAGCAAGGGTCATTAATGAAAATTCAAAAATGGGAGGCAAATGTGTAAGTAATAGCCCCTAAAAAATAGACGCGTGTAGAGGAAGCCTCCATTCTCCTCGTGACACCTGCCCCGTGACACAAAAAAAATGGAGGTTGGAGGACAATTGACGGGACGTTGGTAACCACCCAACTAGAGCCTGACACATGGTCACTCATGGTGTCAAAACGCATGGGATTCACATACATGTTGAGACCACACGATTGGCATGCTCGAGAC